AGAATCAGATCCAGCTATTTAATCGTGTAAGACTATTTCCATTATGTTTCTCATCAGATGACCCACTATGAGCTTCACTATAATTATGGATTCTGGGTTAAATCTGGAGACATGTGACACAGAGATATGTGACATCCAGATGGGCGACACATTAAGGGACAAACCAACATTAAATGCTGTGTCTAAATGGGAGGTGTCTGACGTCAACATGCCACCAGAACAGCTTCGGTATTAATTCTCCAAGTCCCTGCAACTCTACACCATTCTTCTAAAACGTATTCCCTCATGCGGTGTTTTGCTGACGGTGCTGGGGAGCGCTGTCTGACACGATGGTAAGGATCTCCCAGAGGTGTTGATGTCTGGTAAAGGTGCTAGCTATGAGTCATGTCGTTTTCTTTAAACCATCCAGTCACCCCTGGTGCCCTGTTAATGGAGGCACCGTCATCCTGGAGGAGACCGCTTCCATCAGCAAAGAAATGTATTAAAATAACATTAAGATGACTCAGAACAGCGTTGTATTGATCTGCAACGACTCTTCCCTCTGACGGGACAAGCGGACCCGAACCAGAATGCTCCATGAGATCCCCTCACCGTCGGGGTCGAGGGTTCGTGCCTGCTCTTTCATATGTCGCCCATCCGTACGTTAAAAGCTTTGGAGAAAAAACATAACTGAAGAAAGTTACGAGCTTTGGGGATTTGACTTGACAGCAAATTTCTGGCTGCAGCACAATCTAATTTAAACGTATCTGAGTGAACAGTCAGTGTGTCTGTTCAGGCCGCTAAAGCAGCACAGAAGATGCTTGAAGCTTTCTAACCTGCAGTCTCCGACCAAAGACTCACTGAACCAGAGCAGATTTAGGCTTTTCAACCCAGACAGGCATCTTTACAACATCGTGATGCTTCCCTTTGACATTTAGTCCTATCAGATGTTGCTCCCATTGACAGTCGGCTGTGGTTTCTCTCTTCAATATAATCTGTGAATCATTCTCTTGTACTTACGTTTCTATCCTGTCTGGTGTTAGTGTTTCGCTGAAGTGATAATGAGGCAGGAAAAAAACAAAAATAAGAGAGACATTTAGCGCAGGTCACATTTCAGGTAATAATACGGTTTAGTGCAGCTGTGTCGTCTTATGTCCTTTGCTGTTTGACAATCTCTGTAATCAGGATCACTGCCACGTCAGTCACCAGACACCAGACAGGCCTCTCTGAGCCTGAGACTCAAAATGGGATGTTTATCGCTGCACTTCCCTTCTTAGAGCTTTCTGTTGCCTCTGCTGCAGCTGTTTCAGTTTGATCCGAGTTGCTGCTCTATTGGGAGTGTTTAATTTCAGTAACTGGACAACGTGTCCGTGCTGGAGACCTTTGATGTTCCTGCAGTTATTTCTCAACCCCAAAGAGAGTCTGGTTATTTATTGGCCCTGTAAGACCCTATAACGCCTTGATTTAAAGCAAAGCACAAACTAAAAATAACTTGTTCATACGAGCTTCAGCAGTTAAAGCACAGCTCAGTGTCTGTTTAAAGCCTGACGCTGCTGTTGTGATGTGTTCCACAGTCATTTGTACTGCCTGAGTTTTGACATTTGTGCTCCGTTCATCCTACGGGAAAATAATTGATTACAGTAGTTATGGTCCATTTCATGTAATTGGCTTTTGCTTTAATATTCCTGTGTGACGTGTAGTTGGTAGATTGCATGCGAATCTCATTGTCTTTCACAGATACAGTGACCTTTCATGCTGCAAATGAGCAGCTTCATCACAGTCAGTCTGAAAGGACAGAAAGCATTGTTGACGCACAATGCAACAAACGGCAGATTGTCTTCAGAGGTGCACCGGGCATAATTTACATCTAAAAAAATAGACTTGTCTCACATGTACAAGCACCTAATTTAGTTTTTGAAAAGAAAAGAAGAAGACTAGTCACGGGAAGTGCAGTGTGTTTGTGGCAACATAACAAACTCATTGTTCACGGTGTTTTACAGGAGCTCCTGTTGAAATAGTTCATAGAAAGCAGGAAGAGCAACGCTGCTTCTTAAAGACGCACACTTGAGCTGAGTGATGACACTCTGCGAACTGATTATCGCATTTTGAGACTTGACGTTTAATAACAAATGACTTTGTGATTCCTCTAAGTAGCTGTGACCGTTGGCGTTGCCAGGACATGCTTCTCGGCTGTTTCTCAGCAGCGGCAGGACGGTGTGACATTATTGATCTCTGTGGTCAGTGTAGCAGCAGATTCAGCTGGCGAGCAGAACAGCCGAATGACTGCACATACATTAGCATACAGAGAAGGAGCGACTGCTTTACGCTGGGTTGGTTTCCAGTCAACCGCTGGCCAGTGTGTTGCAACTGCAGATGGATAGTTTTCAAAGAGCATCCCACACACTCCTGCTCTGTGTCTTCAGATGCTGCCGCCCAGCCTCGGCCTGATTCGGCCCTTTGGGGACTTGAGTGTTTGAATTTTTTATTTTTCATTAAGATAGCCCCCGTTATTTGTAATGGGAGATTACGACTGTGTTTTGTATTCCTCTTGTTAAGGATTTGTAGCGGTGCTTCCGCTGTGGGGATTTGATTTGTAGTGCCACTTGATGCTGTAAACATCTTCATCAGTATGCAGGAAAGAGTATTTATTTAAAGTGTTTGGAGGAAATCTCTTGGTAAAGTGGATAAAACAGTAACGCTTTTGTATATACAGATTGATAAAGGCAGTAAATGTTTTAGTAAGATGATGGTCACTTGTTCAGTTCTAGATAGAGGCAGCAACTTCTAAGAAACTGTGTTTATGGGGTTAATCAGTGACTAAAGACAGACTTTAAGGTGCCACATTTATTTTACAACAATTAAAGATGAAGAAAACCAGCAAATATGTCCATTTAAGATGAAGGAGCTGGTGAATGTTTGGCTGTTTTGCTAAAAAAAAAAAAGAAACCAGACTGAAGCAGTAAAATAATCCTCAAACTGTTGCTCCTGTCGGTCCTCCAGCTGTGCTCCTTATTCTCTAATAGTTTTAGCCACAACCTAATGACTGGGGAAGGCCGTACCGTGATTCACAGTGTTTTCAAATTCATCAAACCAACTCTGCATATTTTCACCTCTTCATTCAGGGTTTTGCGTCTGCGTTTTGCACGTTTGAGAAGCAGGATCTCTGACAACTTTGAGAGAGTCACTTCCCTTCGGCGAGGCACTTATCTGCTATCATTCCAGTGGAATAGCCCAATGGGGGCCAGTGAACTGGCAACCATTCAGTGTGAATGTGCATGAAAGTAAAGCAGGGCAGTGCTGAGCAGGATCATGCATACTCAGCAGAAGCCTGCATCATTACAGCGACTGTGTCATACGGCCCGATGCAGACCATGATGACACATAGATGATGAGGTAGTGCAGCCAAGTGATGGTGCTGGATTTTGCCTGTGTGGCAGCAGCGACCACCGGGAAGGCTGTGGCTCAGCGGTGCAGGTTAATGATTTCCCCTCAGTGAACTGGATGTGGAATAATCCTGTAAGAGAGAAGAATAGCGGAGCACAGCCCCTCAGGTCTTTCCCTCCTCCTCGATCCTCCATCCATCCCGTCTATCCCCCGGTTCTCCATCCCTCCCTGCCATCCTCATTGTGTCTGTAGCATCTGCTGGTGCTCGCCGGTGTCAGAGCGGGGGTGGGGACTCTTCTGACACCACAGAGAGAGAGTGTGTGTGTGTGTGTGTGTGTGTGTGTGTGTGTGTGTATTATGAAAGACAAACACAGAGTGTGGGTGTTTGCATGAGCATGCGCCTGCAAGCCTCCCTGTATGGTGATGGTTATAAATGTAGTTATGGGGATAATGCATGCCCGGTACCCGCTCATTAAACCAGAGTGTGTGCAAATGTGGACGCAGAGGGAGAAAAAAAAAGAGGGGGGAGGGAAAGAGAAGCAGTTTGCCTCCTGCCTGTCTGCCACACCCGGCCTTCTTGCTTCCTCCTCCTACCTTCAGTCCTTTCTCTCCCTCTCTCTCTCTCTCCATCACTCTCACACTCCTCCTCCTCTGCTCTTCTAGTCTATCTGCTGGTGTTTCCATGAGAACAGAGAGCGCTGGGTATGGAGGGGTGGGTGGGTTGGTGGTGCGGGTGACGTGTCCTAAAAGCACAGAGACTGTGTGTGTGTGTGTGTGTGTGTGTGTGCATGCATGTATATATGTATGTGTGTGTGTGTGTGTGTGTGTGTGTGTGTGTGTGCGCGCATGCATGAATGCGCCTCGCGATCATCACTGCTCTCTTTCACACGTCTCTCCTGGCAAGAGCTGCTCCCGGCTGTGCCAGAAAACATGCTTTTGGCATCGCCGTGGTAATTTGGACGCGGAGCTCACAGGCTTATAACACCGATTTGAGATCCAGAGAGTCTATAACACACAGTCTGAGAGGGAGCCTGAGCAATCAGAGGAGGCAACTTCCATTTGGGAAGCACTTTTTTTTTGTTTCTTGTGCGCTGAAGGAGGAGGGAATGAAAGCAGCAGCAGCAGCAGCGGGGCTGTGGCGGTGTGGAGAGGAAACTAAAATAAAGCACAATAATAATAAAGAAGAGATCCATCATTGCAACAGCAAATTGACTGGAGGTATCCAGTCAGTTAATAAGGGAGAGCCTTTTTAGGGTGGGGCCGCTGCTTTAGCTGGAGCCAGGCTGAGAGCGAAGAGGAGGAGGAGGGTGAGAAGATGTAGAAAAGAGGAGTGCTGATCTAAAAGAGGTGGGGGGGTTCATCACTATGAGCGAGAAGAGGAGGAGGAGAAGGAGGAGGAGGAGGAGGAGGAGGAGGAGGCGGAGGAGGGGGATAGTGTGAAGGGAAGAGAGGAGGAGAGAGGGATGGAGGGGAAGGGAGGGGTTTAAAGGGTGGGCTTGTAGTCATTGTCAGGCAGCGAGTAAGAGAGAGTGAGAGAGTTGCGCCCAGGCAGACCGACTGAAGAGCGTGTGTGTGCAAACTGGGATGAGTAAATGTACTGGGCTGCCTAGCTGGTGATACAGCCAGAGAAAGAGAGAGAGAGAGAGCGAGAGAGTGAGAGAGAGAGAGAGAGAGAGAGTGTGCACGAAAGCGAGCGAGAGAGAGAGAGAGAGAGAGGGTGAGAGAGAAGAAGTGAAAGGGAGAAAAAAAAGGGAAGAAAGAAGCAGAGAAGAAAAAGGGAGGATACTACAACTACAACTATGCTGTGCTGCATAAGAAGAACCAAACCGGTAAACTGCTCTGATTTGCTTTTCATCAGTATTTTCTGCTTCTTTTTCTCATAGACGAAAAGAAAAGAAAAAAACAAAAATCTCAACTCTGAACTTTGTGAGTGTTGTTAGTCAGATTAGGGGCGGTGAGGGGAGATTAGACAAGATGCTACTGCTGCTGTAATTTGCTTTGACTTTGGGCCTGGTTGGGCTTTATAGAAATGTAGCCACAGAGCCCAGACACGCCTAGTTAATGTGATTATCCCGCATGAATGGATGTTGCCACAATGCCTCTCAGACCTCACACTGTACTTGCAGAGAGGCACAAGACTGTAACTCGATCTTGGGCAGCTGCCATTCCCTCTTATTGATCAAGTGCTTGAAAAAAAAGTGAAAGATTATTGAAAGGCACTTGATAGATTCTGTCTTGTCTTTAATATCAAAGCTGAATGACTCTTTTGTGTTTCATCCAGGAGCCCTGTTGAACTCTGCGTAATCTTCCATTGTTAACGGTGCTCCACGTTAATTAGATCAACCTACAGTGTTTCTCCTAATTGATGCCTTAAACGGGGGGGTATTGGAGTCTTTTGTAACTGTGTTATCTCGAGCAGAAATGGGTGACACAGGAAAAGAAAATTTCCACAGTGAGGAGAAAAAAGGGTGGGGTACGGATTGAGTGAGCAGCACCATCATGTCAGCGGCCTCGGGGGAATACAATGGGAATAAATGAGTATAAATGGATTATCATAGCCCTCCAGCTTTATAAGTGGATGCTGTCAATGGAGGGTACTATGAAGTGTGCACTCATTTAAAGGGTGTGAAAGGGTGGCGTTGGATAGTTTATAGCCACCCGCGGCCAGCCTCACCGGTAGAGAATAAAAACAAAAAAAAAAGGTGTTGCATGGAGGGGAAGGTGGCTCTCACTGATTCCAGCAGCTATCATGGTGGTTCTGTGTGTGATCAGGGCCGGGTTCCTGCTGCTATCTCAGACTGATTATGATTTTATCAGACTCATAACACACTGGATTCCGATGGCACTTGATTGCTTCTTAAATGTCAGCCTGGATGAGTCATATCGGCTCTGGCTGGGAGGAGAGAGAGAGAGAGAAAGGAAGCGAGGCTTGCCAGTGGAGAGACATGCAGGAAGAGCAAGGTGCAGGGAGGCAAGCGGGGAGAGACCGAGCGGCAGGGTGGAGCGTGGCTGGTGCACATGGACCAGTGTAGGGGGGGAAAAGATGCGAGGGGATGTAGAGAGGGAAGGCACGGAAATAGAAGTAAAACGAGGACTGAGACAGGGAGGGAGATCTGCATGGTATGGGGGGAAGGTAGGGAGAGGCACGCATGCAGCAAGGCAGAAAAGTAAAGAGGGAAGGAGAGTGGACGGCGGCTGCAACCAGGCAGGAAATGTGGCGGTTACAGAGCGAGGGATGATGGTTGGAGGAGGTGAGCAGGCGCGAAGGTGAGATCAAAAAGAGGAGGAAGGGAGAGAAGCCGGCATGCTGCACACTGCAGCCATGTGGGTGAGGCTCTGGCTTTTCCCACAGAACGCTGTCGCTGCCTCGAGCGTGCACATCTCACCACGGGGAAAAATATCCTCCTGGCGTACAAGCACTTATCCTCCTGCTCCTGCATCTGAGCATAAATTAATCCAGACAGACTCTGTGGTCTTCATGGATGGATGAGCAAAGAGCTTGATTTTCCTCTTTAAAACATGGCAATATAGCTGTGGGTCCTGCCATTGTGGGGTGTTAAGTGCTGTTGATCTACACTTTATGGGAGTGGCTACGAGCTCCTAATTTAGTCTCCTCTGTAGCCTAATTTTTTACTTGAATTCACCACAGTCCCTTCTAAGTCCAGGTCTGTCTTAAATTCCTTCACGTCAACCCAGATCTCCTTAACTGAGCAGAACTTATCAGATCCCACCAATCAGCTCCCCTCCAACTCCAGCTCCATCCTGACATCTCAGCACCAGGACCCCACCTGTCTGTCCTGCCTCCACTTTCAGTTTAAGCTCTGACATTTTTACACCAAACCGTGATTTCAAAGCCACGGGCTGCCGGGCTACCTGACAGACGACTACTCCCTCCTCCTAGCCTGGCTTCAGCCAAAGCTCCGGCCACAGCCCACATCTCCAGTTCCTGCTTCCACCTCCCTCTCCCCCTCCGCCCCGTCACCATGTCCAACCCCTTGCCCCTTTCCTCCAGCATCACTCCCCACTTCCACCTTCCCTCCCTCTCCCCATCCTCACCCCCAGCTCCTATGAGATCAGTGGCGATTGCAGAGCCTTTGTTCAGGGAGAGAGCCGGTGTAATTGAATTAAAGGCTGCTCCAGAGGATGTAATGAGGCTGGCATATGGCCGCTTATTAGTTGCTGCGGAGCATCTTTTCCCGGGCCGTCGTAAAAGAAACAGTGCATCCTTTAACATCGCTCATCAATTCGCCGTCAAAGGGGAGAAAGAGCGGGGGAAAGCGATGGCGAGCGGGGGCTGTGGCAGTCACCACCTGAGCCCCCCTCTCCTCAACTGCAGGAGATAGCCGGCTAAAAGGGTGTGGTGCTCCGCTGTGTGTGTGTGTGTGTGTGTGTGTGTGTGTGTGTGTGAGGCAGAGAATGAGTGGGTAGCAGTCTGCCTCGCTGAGAAATAGAGTGAAAGACGACAGAAAGAGAAAGAATGAGATATTCAGCAGTTGCAGACAGCAGCCAGTCTTTGCTCTTTGCTGTCTGGATTGCTGTTGCAGAAAAGCAGACAGCCATTGAAATCACGCTGGGGTTTTAAGGAGAGAGCTGTCATATGTGTGCCACCAGCAGGGTGGCTAATGCTACCTCTCCTGCCTGCCTGCCTGCCTGCTTGGGAACTGTGCTAATATGACAAATGTTTGGGGGAGTTTTTCCATTTTATTTAAATATTGCTTTACCTCTGAGATCAGTTTTAATGCACACAAATCTTCCATAATTACACTTTAAAGTGACTCCAGAGGAAATACATTCACCTGTTGGGTTTGTGATAAAAGGGGCTCCTTTAACTCCATCATTACAAATGCAAATATTACCTTTAATATTTCTCTCCCCTCTTTGCCAGCGGCATGTGATCCGGGGGTTGGGCGGAGCGGCGGGGTGAAAAGAGAGTCTCCCACTTGAACGGATCAGGATAATGAAAAAAATGATTATATGCACGTCTTGTGTATGCATTAGCCGTGGTTCTGTGGTAATTCAACCAGCGTTAACCTCACCGCTCCACTGTGTCTTCCACGGTCTCTCCCCGCCTCCCCTCCGCCTGAAACAAGTCCCTAATGGCACTCTCAATGAGGCAGTGGGAAGGTGGCGGATTGTTACTGTGTGTCACCATTGGGGGATGGTGATTGTGTGTGTGTGTGTGTGTGTGTGTGGTTGTGGATAAATCGGTAAAGCCATTGACTCTGGGGTGTGGTTCTCACGACAGCCGGTGCCCACCCAAGGACAGAGGCAGACAGGGAGAGAGAGAGAACAGACTGCAGCCGATAGGCGAAGCTCTGATAGACACATCCAGCCGTCAGATTACACGATGAGCACGCTTTAGCAGAAACATACGTTACGTTTAGGGGCAAAACCGAAAGTGGGGTTTGTCCTGCGGTGAATGGCACTCCTGTCTCGAGGTAACCTGTGAGCGAGTGCACATTTAGATTCTGAACATGGAGGTGGCGCTCGGTCACCTACATATGGCACAGAGCGCTCAATGCTGCTGCATAATACTATAGCTGCTACAGTTGCACGAGGATTGCATAATTATCTCTTTTACAATCTTGCAAGAGCAGCACTATTATGTTGCAGAAATTCCACATTTCGTGAGATAATAAAAAAACAGTTTTCAGCGGTTAATGTACTGTAACTATGGCAACCAGAGAGGCCGTGTTCAAAGAGGAAGCACTGCAGGCTAGTTGTAATAAGTCATTTGATTAACCTGATAAAGCAAACATGTTGTCTCACTGCAAATTAATCAAGGAAGAGTCGAAGCGGTCGCAGCGTGAAGACTTAAGCGGCGCGTACCTTGTGGTGTGTCGCACCTTTGGGATGTGCTGCTGTATTTATGAATGAAAATGTGTGCCGCACAGACACCCGAGTGGAAAAGCGCCTGCAGGAGGCTACGTGACCAGGGTTCAATTAACAGTCAGAGTCTTCAAGAGGCAGCAAATAGCGCTCGTGTTGAGACAATATGGGACTTCGGCGCGTTACATCCAGCCAATGGCAGCAGTTAACCTCTGCGACACTGTATATTACAGCACAAGTTTGTTATGACAGGTGTAGCGTCTCAGCAGTCGATCCGACGGTCCATGAAGGAAATCACAGCGCAGCACTTCTGAAGGGTGATGCACAGACAAATATCAATAATTCAAATGATGATGCCACAGTTGTGGTCGAACCATGATGTTGATGTTTCTTCCCGTCCTCACGCGCTGATATGAGATCATCTGGCACTCGGCTGGTATTTTATTACATTTCCACTCATACGCATCCCCATCTTTAAAGTAGATGACATCCCCTCTGTTCCAATAATGATGTCATACCCCCATATTCCCAAACACCCTCATCCATCGCTTTCTTTCTCCGTCCGTCTGACTCACCGAATGCAGCCAGTAAGTAATTCTATTTAGAGTTAAGTGCTTGGGTCAAATTTTTGGCAATTGTAAGTACCTATGAGATCAGGCATAGTAAAAGCCCAATAAGTCACCGGAGACCTGCATATTATTAAGAGCAGAGGGTGTGGCGGCGGTGCTTTGTCTGTCTCCCTGTTGTCTGGTCTAATAGGAGGCTAAAGTTTATGTCCACATTTAATAGCTGATTGTTAAATAAGCCGCTCCAGTTCAGGTTTGAAATATACATCCGTATGTTTGAGGAGCGATATCAGCCTCCTAAAAATCTACCATCCCTCTCACAGCCGGCAGTATGTTTCATGTTTTCTCATTTCCTTTAATATTATGTTGCACAAAATTGCTTCAGGAGGTTCGTGTATATTAAGAACTGCAGGAAGGCCCGGGGCAGGATTTACACCCTGAACCCCGGAGAATAAAGGTGGAGGAGGTGAATATACCAATACAGCTGCACCTTGGCCTCGCTGCTCCAATATTGCACTGACACACTGACCCTGAAGAAGACATGTTGGTTTAGTGCCTCCGGCTCTTAAATCATGCCACGCAGATGTGATTCCTCACACAGGCAGCTGTCCAAGTCAAACCTCATATCCGACATAATGACACTATTAGAGGCAGGAGGTATCGGCAGAGGAGCAGAGCGAGGGATCGGGAAAAGCGCTCAGATTCAGCGACCTTAAACAAGATGCTGCTGCTCGGTGACACGGACTACCAACATCTGATGCACATAACCCCCTTTGGCCCCCCAGCGGCTCCCCCACCACACCCTGCCGCTGCATCACCACCCCTCCTTAACCATGCTGATTGCGTCGCTTGATTTATGAGTTCCTATTGGTCCGCTCCCCTGAGGGGTCAGGTGCACTGCCAATCAGGGTGACATATAGTCTTTCATAGCACCAACCAGCAGACAGGGCCGTGATGAGTTAGCACTCTGGTTGTCAAGGTAACCTTTGATGGTTGGGAGGGGTATGGCAGCGAATGCTGAGGAGATTTCTAGCAGGCAGCTCGTTCCCTAGCAGCCAGACATGGAGCTGCTACTGTACCTAGAGAATAGAGATGGGCTCATTATTTTCAAGAAAGAGCCTCGATTCTGAACACTTGCATTTTGTTGCTCATAATTCTGAATGTACCATTAGCCGAAAACACAGGGTTACGACAATGGATGCCACGGAGAGGGTGCACATTGAAGTTTCATTATTCACTAAATCTATTTCAGCGCCATTATCAAGAGCACAATATCAACCTTAAGACTGGATTAAATAACAGCAATAGATGCCCAGAGTCATTTGTTGCGCGCCAAATCACACTGTGTGCGATTCATTATGTGGAGACAATCGACCTGCACACACATCTGCTATTTTCATGATTCACAATGGCACTAAATCGCCCCTTTTCCAGCACATAAAACGACCAAATGCTGTAGATTCATTCTATTGTCAAACCAATCACTGGCTCCTGACAAAGCGTTCATACCTGACAGGACAAAACACTCCAGACCATATGGATTTTGTTGTTTCTTCACATCTTTATCACTTGGAATAACTGATTCTGCACAGCCTGCATGCTATTTGACAATTTGTGTTTGCTTCATTATGCTTTTTCACTTTCATTTGAGGTGCACATTTGAGGCTTTTGATGAGTTGGACCTTGGCTGGAGAATATTTTACCTTGATTTGTTTGCCTATTCATTTTGAATGTACTGATTCATTTTGTTTGCCACCTTCAGTGCTCATCATTCATTCCTTTATTTGATTTGATTTCTTTTCATTAGATTTATATGACTCATAGCACAACCCAGTATTTGATGGACAGCTATGGATCCGGTTACCCAAGGTAATATGATGGAACCCCTTTTAAATATAACCCTGTGTACTATCCTAACCCTGTTCCTCATCCCATCCTACACTTTAACTCTACTCCAAACTTGTCCTGAAACCCTAACCCAACATTTCCCACTCTACAAGTCTCCATTAATGGTTATGACTCAGTTAGCCAATAAATCCCATCTAACAGCATAGGCTTCTGTCTTTTTCTGACTTCTGACCTTTCGGTTCATTACATACCTACATTATGTAATGAACTTTGTAGGATTCTAAGCCCAAATAAAAGTATGCCAGCATGTTGTGTAGGGATGATCATCCTTAAGCTAGAAACCACTACAGTAGTGGGATATTTGACAACTCTTCCTGGTTTACAGTGGACCTCCACCACTGCTTACAGTCGGTGCTAACCTGCTGTGATGTCTTTTGCCTACCAGGTGGAGAAGAATGAGGATGCGGACCAGAAGATTGAACAGGATGGCACCACCAACAAACCTGAGGACAAGGCCCACAAGGCTGCCACCAAAATACAGGCCAGCTTCCGTGGACACATAACTCGGAAAAAGATGAAAGACGGAGAGGAAGAGAAGGAGGGAGACAGTCCCGCTGCTGCAGAGGAGGCAACGGAGGGAGGAGAGGAGGCAAAGAAAGCGGAGGGAGAGGAGGCACCTGCTAAACAGGAGGAGGCCGCAGGAGAGGAGGCCAAGAAGGAGGAGGAGGAGACAAGCCAAGCCAAAAGCCCAGTGGCAGACAAGCCCGCTAACTCTCCAGCAGCTGCCGCTACCTCTCCCGCAGGCGCAGCGACATCTCCTGTAGCGGCGGCCCCGGCTGCTGCGTCTCCTACGGCCGCCACGGCGCCCTCCGAACCCCAGAAAGAGGAGCCAAAGGCAGAGGAGAAAGCTGAGGAGAAGCCCAAAGAGGTGGAGGCTCCAGCGGCGGCAGCCAAGAGTCCCACCACAGCCACAGCTGAGGAGAAGAAGGAGGAGGAGAAGAGCGAAGAGAAGAAGGAGGAGGCCAGACAAGCCGATGTGCCTGCTGCTGTCAGTCCGACAGCTGAGAAGGAGGAGCCCAACCAAACAAAAGGTAAACGAGGTATGCAGATCATGGCAGCGCTCCATTCGGGTAGGAAGTACAGGCGGCTTCTCAGGATCACACTTCCGCTTGCACATGTAGGCGCAGGCATCGAGTTCACAGGCAAAAATAGTTCCAGACACTTCCACCAATTAAGAAGCAATTACTTACTGTAAAAATCTCATAAAGAAGAATAGGTGAGCTTTCCTGTAGTCTGCTTGGCAGGCACCACAGGACATAACTGCTTGTTGAGTCTTTGGGATTTAAAGATCTTTGGCAGTGCTCCACCATTCACTGGTTAACACAGAGACTCGGCTCAATATTAGATTAGACAGCCTTGTATCGCAGCCTCTGCAAGATGGAAACTCCATACTGATGAGGCAGAGAAATGCAGGCCGGGAAATGATTAGCACTGGTCAAGAATGTTGCACAATGAGATTGGCTTATCCTGGGAATGATCAGTGTTATTGTTCGGAGGCAATGATGTGTTGTTTGCGTAATGAGAAAGCGGCATGTTTTGCAGATTATCAGGGTTCATGAGCATCTCATACGGGCTCAGAGCAGTTTTGTGATTGCAGGACTGGCGTATTAACCCACCGGTAGTGAATTACTCAAACTGAAAGACAAATATTAGGGGAAACTGATTACCCAATTAAATCCTTGTTACAAATCCCAGCATGTATAAATATCCTTTCTGTCTGGACCAATACCAGCTAATAGATTTCAAAGCAAACCACCATGTGATGTCCAAGCATTACAGAAACCTGGGAGGGAACTGTGAGGGAATTATATTAGCACACCCTCGCAACATACACTTGACATGAACTCCTATTTCTGGTCCAAGGACTCTCAGACTGGGTCAGACAGGTAGCTAATGGAGCATGCTCAGTCTGGAGTCGGTGGGGGTGTGAGGTGGGAAACACACACTCGCACACCAACCGGAGAAGTACACAGAAACTAGGTCACCTAGGCAGCACTGTCTCCCTGTTGTCATAGTTACCACCTCGATGGGATAGCTGGCCTGCATGGAGCACAGCGCACATAACAGGTGCTCTGATTTAAATGAATGATTAATGATCCCGACTGGTCACGATCCACACCGGGGAAGTCTGTCACAAACAAACACTACCTGACAAAGAGCTGCTAATTAAGAATCCACCGCTGGCCACAATCTGCTGGAACAACTCAAGTGACTCAGAGAGCAAATGAATATTTATAACTAAGTCACTTGGTTAAGGTTTGTTAGCGCACAGGCTGCCGCTACATGCACAAGGACACCAGGTACTCTGATTCGTCTGAAAAATTCATGAGGTCGCCTGGGCATGATCCAGATTCTCCCCCAACGATGGTCTGTGTTGCTGCTTTCAGGTCTAGTCAACTGTCATCATATTCACACAAGACAAAATGCCAAAAAAAAAACCCCCACAAAAACAAGAGCAGAAAGCGTGAACACCGGCTAAAATGTGAAAATACTTTTTAAAAGAGGAGGTAGCTAAAATAATAAATGGCAAAAAAAATTTTAATACAGTGAAAAAAAAGCACAGTAGCCATGAACTCATCCCACTCCTCATCCTCCGGTAGAGTAGATAATCAATTACTAATAACTAGCTGTACATAAAACAGTTTTCACAGTCAGTTAAAAACCTCAGCTGATGTGTTGCCATGTGCTGCAAAAAGCTGCTTCACTACAACTTTTAGTTCTTTGTACAGTCGGCAACAGTGAGCAATGAGATCTGAGGGTTCTGCAAAAGTTTATCCTTAATGTGAGTAAAATAAACATCTAGAGTTTTTGTAGGACACCAATGAAACGTGCACTGAAGCAGTCTAAAGGACTTACTCCATGAGCACCAACCAGGATTCAAACAGTGTTTTCTAGTTGAAGACAAGTCGAGGTCTGAATGTCTGACGCCTGTTAAAATCCAGCTACAGCATCAACACGTCACGAAATCTCACTGAAAAAGAGATAATACTGATAAAAGTAAAGGAAAGTCACGTTGCACTGGAAGCTAAAATGTGGTCTGCACGTCTTTTCAACAAATTAAGTTAATGCAAAATTAGGAATTGTGCTGTAAATCTGCTGTAACAAGCATGTACAAGTGCCTGCCAGTTTCAGCTTCAACTAGTCTGAAGGCAGAACGTGTCGACTGCATTTCCAGGATAAACAGCATCAGTTTGTGGTGCTCCACCTTAGCAATACTTCAACTGTGTCTTCCTTTATGCTCACCCTCACTAGACCTTCTTATTGTTGTTGTTGCATCGCCTCCAAAATGATGACAACCACATTCACATAAGTCGATGAAAATGTTCCAAATCCCGGTGAATTGTAAATGTCTACATGTTTTTGAATAGTCAGTTAAAGAAAAAAAAGTTTTGCTTTTGAACCTGTTCTGAGCGTCCTTTCACTGCTGACCATAGCTGACATCTTTTCAATGGAAAAATACTCGCTGGTATAATACAACCATGTATAGGCTTCTCTGTAGCTCAGATAGAATCCATACTATGCAGCTGAGGAGTGAGATCAGAGTCCATGCTGACACCCACATGTTGTGCCTGAGGTGAAATACGCTCAAACACTGGAGTAAACCGCATAGCGCTTTTTTGACCAGCAGCGAGGATCTCTTTTACACAAAATGTTCTGATTAAGGACAGTGAAACTAAGGCGAGAGATGCAGTTTACAAGCGGGTAAAGGACGGCTCAGGACAAACAAATGGTATATATAAAGTTGGGCGTCATCGGCATAGTAGCGGTATCAGATGAAAACAGCAGATCCAGGATGGAGTCGTGCGTACTGACGTTTTTTTCCAACTAAAAGTCGTCTTACAGAGTGAATTTTGTGCTTAGTCCTATTACTTTCTTTTTCTTCAGCTCCACTTTGCATCTCTGTTTGACAAAATAAATTATTCGTCACGGTCTCATTAATTTTGTTTACTGAAAACTTACAAGTCGGCGGGCAGAATGGACAAACACTTTGGCTGTTTGTTTACTCATCTGCAGTCTTTATATGCAAATGCAAGCAACAGAACCGAACCGGCACTTCAGTCAACAGCGAACGCCGGTGTAGGTAACCGAGGTGGCACTGATGTCAGAGCGCCAGGACTGACAGGCCCCGGCTCTGTAAATTGGGTGAAATTGTGTTTGCATCACGCAGTTCAGTGGCTGTAGAGGAGGACTTTCTCAAAGCTGTCATAGCGGCTAACAAGCTAATTACCTCTTACCTGAAAGATCTGCTATGACTCACGCCGTCTTGAGTCACACAACTCGCACATTAGCGAAAGCACTGACACAGACATGATCGCCCCACTTCTCTGCCTCGCCCTCACGCGCACACACACACACACACACACACACACACACACACACACACTCACACACACACACACACACACACACCCTTGCACTCCATCACCCCAGTCTCCGATGCAATGATGTCATTCTTCGATGTCTCCTCCTTCTATTATGAGAGTATGAGATCACCGGAGTGTGACATCACCGCCCTGAGGAGCGCTTGAATAATAGATTTAGCCTGAAACAATGAAATAAGGATCCCAAAATTATTGCAGTGAATGAACGTACAAAAAAAAAATTAAAAAAAGACCCCACGGCAAGAATTTCAATGTTGGGTTTTTAAAAAAAATGTTTTTTCAATAAATTTTCAGTGTATTTTAATTTAAAAAATCAGCATTTCTTTTGTAACAGCTTAATTTACTTGGGTTGCATCAACTTCATTTAATTTGAATACAGTGAAATGAGTTGGCCCAGTCTAATTAAATAAAGTGGGACTCGACCCTTGACAACAGTTTCAATCAACTCTCATAAATTTAGTTGATTCCTTAATGGACCAACAGGATTGACTAAAGCTGAGAGAATATGTGACATTCATGTAGGTGTAAGCTAGATTGACTCAGTTTATCTCAACAGGAATACATCTAATAAATGTTTAGGGGTTACACGTGCTGCAAATACTACATGATGTGATCATCGTATGGATATTAGAAATATATTGAATAAAGTAAATGTTACACTTTGGTAAATTTAAGGTTTTTTTGTGTAAATTAGTCATTTGTACTTAATTTAAATACACTTTTCTTTGCAACAAATTGGAAATCAGTTCAGGATTTATTAAAAAAATCCCCAGAATACTAAGAAAAATCTAAAGCACCACAGCAATGTTAGCCAAGAAGCCCAATTAGGAACGTGTTTGTGATGCATCACGGATCGTTATTCAGCAGAGTTCACCTCTAAGTGAGCCACCGCTGGATGTTATTGCAGCGCAGCACACTCAGGGCATCACACGGTATCAGATGTGACAGGCCGAGATGCCGCTGTTAGCGTTTGCAATGTCAGTTCAAATGCTTCATGGGTCCATTAGGAGCACTCTCTTCCTTTATTATTTACACAGCCAACGTGGGACTTCAGACAGCCGGCTGCATCTTCTGAATGACGCGCTCTCAGTTTGAGTCGAGCTGACATCTTGTGAACAACGTGGAATTACACAGCTCCTCTCTTACAGAATGAAAACACGCACATTTTGGGGATTTTGTACGCACACAGAGGATCATCTGGGGTTAAAACATCAAAAGTAGCAGCTGTTGTGTGAAATCTTTGTTGCTCGCTATCTCCAAAGTCCCAGATAGAGCCGTATTATTCCAGCTTCACAATGTGAAACCTCTCCACAGGCTAATTTTCTCCCTCCCTCTTCCCTCTCTCTCTCCAACCCACCTTTTATCTCCCCCTTTCTTTCCCCCCTACATCTCCTTTTGCTCCTCCCTCTTTGCTTTCCTCTCCCTCCCTCCCTCCCTCCCTCCTGCTTCCACACAGATGCTGCAGAGGAGTCTAAAGCAGAGGAGGCCACCCCGGCAGATGCGGCAGCGGAGGCCACCGAGTCCAAGGACGACTAAGTCCAACCTAACGAAAGCAGAATTAAGAGTATGAAGAATAACACAAAAACAAAAATCTAAAAAGGTTGCTCTTTGCCTTCCCAATGTGAGGGCAGTCCGTTTCTATTTGTTTGTCATTTTTTGTGTGGCAATGATTTTCTCATGTTGGGGGAGTTTCCAGCGTGAAGTTTTTTGGCTCAAGCTAATACAAGGAGGAAGTGATGATGATGATGATGTTGTTGTTATGAAAAACGATTGTGACCTTGATACCGACGGTGATGATGCTGAGATGGAAGACTCCATTTGTCACGTCTTCACTATTTCATGTAAGCGAAACAGGATGAGCGCTCCCAACTGGATCTCGACACCTTTAGAATGCATTGCCAATGCCCCCGTACTTTATTTGCATTGTAATGCACTTTCTTTAAACACATTTTGCAAATAAAATCCGTTCTGCAGATGCACGCACAAAAAACAAGCAGGTTTCAAAATGCAACCCGAGTTCTCGGCGCGGTCCAAGTGCGTCGAGAGCACAGCGAACAGCTAAAGTACTCACACATCACATGGATGAGAGAATGTATCATTAAATGTGTGACATTTCCAGTTGGGCAGCTTCATCCTGAATCCAAAAGACAACATATAGGACAAGACTATTACTCTCTCTATTCTGCTTGAGTCATTCAAGCTCGGTTTACACCCCTTTTACAAACTCTGTTTACTCACATTTACAAGTAAAGGACCTGTTGCCATTTAAATGATCATATAATAACCTATAGAATGTAACTGGCTCTTACATATAACGATTTGTGTTCTGCCAACCAAACGTGAGAACAGTAGCATGAACCATCGAACCAGATGCATGATGGGAACTCTCCCTCAGAGAGGAACTTTTTCGCAGTCACAAAAACTTAAGAGGTGTGGCGGCTTCTTTTTGATGTCTTTGGTGTTGTTATGACAGTTTATATGAATTGGAAAAATTACTCTTGCACTGATGTTACGAAAAAGAAAAAGTAAAAAAGAAAAATCAAACAAACAAACAAACAAACGAGCAAACAAAAAATACTTTTCCTATGTTCCAGTGAGTGCAATGTCCAGTTTCAACCTTATCAAGGAGTTCAAACTTGTGAGAAAAAAAAATATGAAAAAATAAAAATGGTTTCAATGTCTGTTTTCAAAATAAAGCAAATGTGCCAATTACCATCATAAACTGTGGAGTTTTTTTTTTTTTTTCCAGTTGTTGCTAATTCAGAGGGTTGGAAATATTTGTTGGGCAAGAAAGTACAAATTACGCCTCCCTTCCTCGAAACAGTCTGGTTTTCTAAAGTAAAATGATAAAGTATAAGTACATTCCTGTAGAACTAGTTACACGACAAGAAATTATTTGCAAAACCTCAGTAAACGCTGCTTATAAGATATTTAATCAACAGATTGAGCATTTGACATCTGGACAGGAGGCAGCGATAGTTATTCTGGAAAAGGCATTTAAATGTAATATCAGAATTTTAGTAAATAATCTCCTTGAATCAGACTGTTTCCATTTGTTTGTCCATTCCTCAAAATCTCTGGCCTGGATACGGTTTACACACAGTTTCATTGTTCACTGGTGCATTCAGGAAAGTAATGTACTTGTGTACTATTTTGATGCACTACTTCTACTTTATATTTCCTCCCCACTGCATTTCAAAGTAAAATATTGCACTTTTTACTGCATAACTTTTAAGGCGATGATTTTAGACACTGGATAATATAACCATTTATTAAAAATGCAACAAATAACTCAGAATTGAACCCATACAACGTTTTCGGCCTCCGACATCGAACAAAAAGCAGCCAGGACCACGTCTCAGAGGACTGTGAGTCGTTACAGCTCCATGAAACGGTGATTATGAACTCTGCAAAAGTCAGCAATCAGGGACAATCTTAGTTTTTTCCTTATTTTATTTAGATTTATCTGTTGTCTCTGCCTATTAAACAGGAGATAAAGAAGCTCAAACCTGCAGCAGCTACATGCTAACAGCTAACATGCTGCTGACACACTGTCACTGTTAATAAACGAACAACGTTTTAGACGATAAAATATCAGTCAGACGGACCAAACCAGTACGTTTACTCTCATGCTTTATGTTTTGCTGCTGACACTTCTTTAATTTCACTTACTTTTACCTGTAACTAAGTATTCTCACACTGCTGTATTGGTGCTTCTACAATCTGAATATTTCTTTCACCAGTTTCAGTCAAAGTGTTCCAACCATCTGAAACGTCTAGTTTTCCTAAATCAGGGACACAGTTTCTATCACTGTTTAAAAGTCTTGATCGTAACCAGAATAACAGTGAAAAGCTCAACATCCTCAGTCTTAACTGTGATTTAAATGTGTTCATGTTGTGACATCAGAATGATTTGTTTAAGCACTCGGCTCATCGGACTGGAAGCTCCGTCAGCGCCCACGTGACTTCTGTTCAGATAGCGTAGTTAGTAAAAATGAAACGGTTGTAACCTCCAGGTTTACATAAATGCCAACCGCGGCCTCACAAAAGTTCCATGACCTTCACGCTAATGAAGCCGGTCTGCTGAATAAGCACGACTGAGAGGAGCATAATTCCTCTGAAAAGTTTCTTTTGTCGCCGTCTCCCCTGTGAGCCACAAACCAACGCCGCCGCCGCCGCACACCTTCCTCCTCCTGCAGCCTTATCTGCCTGCACTGTTCTGCCGCAGTTCCCTTTTTAAATCCCTCCACTCTGAGACTGAAGCTAGTCTTGCCCCTCCATTCCTGTGCAACAAAAGTGAAAGAAATCCACCCAGTTTGAACTCTCGCATCAGAAACTGTGAATATATAGAGAACATCATTACTTTCAGATGCTCATTAATCAACTCTCAATAGCAGATTAGATGTTTTACTCATCGGCTGCTCCAGGAAAAGGAGAGTTCCTCCTTTGCTTTGCCCACCTGCATTTTCCAGCTGATGTGGAGGTTTGAGCTGAACGCTGTGCAGCTACAGAAGTGTGTTTCTAACCTTTCACCACCTCATGACTTCACTTTATCTTCAGAGTCAGCGGCTATCGACTACGCAGAGCGATGGCCTCTTTCTTTCCAACACTGCAACCTAATGGCAGCATCATTTGGTTTGTGCTGACACCTAGTGGTGAAACCTGGTACTGCAGCGTGGCGGCGCGCTGCACAGCGATGTGGGGGGAAACCAAACGTGCCATATTGTCATTAATGTGTCGCCATATGCGGTGTCGATAACACCAGTCTCTGTCTTTGGCACCAGACCGTGAAAATGGAGCATTCCCTCGGTAATGAGCTGGATCTCAGATGCATCTCTCACACTTTCTGAGGACAAAAATGTCTTCCAGAGCGAATATAACAATACATATATTATTTTATTTGCATGTTACATGGTGATTAACACAACAGTACCAATAGGATCCCGTGTGTTCCAAGCTATCTCCAAAAAAAAAAAAGAAAAGAAAAAGAAAAGAGGTTACTTGCCCCGACATCTCAAGTCACATTCAAATACAGAACACTGAATTCAAACAACTTTATTTTGTTAACATGTTCTCATATACCTTTATTACATATCATTTTTTTTTTTTTTTAGAAACTGACTGCAATTACCTTATGCCATAATAAAGTAAAGTAAAATAGAAAAAAAACCGGGACATTGCTGTGTCATAATTCATGATTGAATCTTAATTCCCCGTGACGCAGGGAAGGGAAGTACAAACATGATAGTTACATTTGCTGTTTAAATTTTTAAATGTGGAGTTGTATAAACACGAGCTTATGGATTCGCTGACTTTACAACATTCTACTGTAGAAACATAATACTGTATATACACACAGAGGAGGGAAAGAAAAAGTAGAAGAGTCTAAACTTAAAACAGGAGGGTTACCACCGTAACCGTCGGAAAGCAGAGAGCTGGCTGCTGCGCCAACTGGTTATGGATCTCATGCCTCACATGTATGGGAACTTCCACGCGCACGTACGTAAGCCAGTTTTGTACAGTGAAGCGATGGCGATGCTTTGAGGCAAAGCTCAAGAGTAAACTAGAAAGCTGTATCTACAGTCTTCAGTAGATGTCCACGTCTGTCTACAGGGGGGTTGGTGCTGCGTCCGTAGGCTGGCTGTTGGTCTGAATGAGCGATGGAAACACACGTCTTCCTTTCTGCTTCACGGACCAGACAGAGCTCCATGGCTTTTACGTCTCAAGTGTGTAACTCGGTGCTGTTTGAGCTGATTTTAACCTGCATGGACGCACTTTGACATCCACGTTGGCGAGCTCAGCCTCAGGTGAAAACCACCTGGACAGACGCTCAGTTTAACGTGTGAATCAACAGACTGTTTGCCGCGACGCAGCGATCATGCATCCCGAGCAGGTTAAAATAAACGCTGAGCACAGTTTGGAGAGCGAGACCTGCTCTGGCGGTCTGTCAGAGTCTCCTCCAGCAAAACGACAAAAAAAACAACCACAAAAAAAAACATCTTTTACTTTGTCTGCCCATCTGCCCAAGGCCAGCCTTGCTCTGCCCTGAGTGGTTTTTGTTTTTCTTTTCCAATTCGACTCACCGGATCAGACGCGTAGCACAGACCCCGCTCATGCAAACCGATCATGAAGAACTATTTCACCACAGCTTCCAGATCATTCGCTTCTTATTACAGTAAGAAGATAGCTGTTGCTGATAAACTACAGTAACATCCTCAAGTATGGGCTAGCCGGAGGCTAAGAAGCAGTCAGAGAGTCTGCAGAAATACCAATGTAGTACAAAAACATCAGGAGTCCCTTGTTCAGTTGTAAAAAATAAATTAAAAAAAGCACGACGAAAGCATAAGAACAAGCGTCTTTCTTAGACTGAAGAATCTGATTGTGAGATATTGTTGTTTTTGTTGATGGAGCTGATAGAAATGGAGCTGTTTAAATGCTTCGGTTTGATTGGAACTGGCTTTTTTTTTTTTTCAGGTTTCAGTCTTTGCTTCTACACTTCCACCCATGAAAATTAGACTGGATCAGATGGCGTTACCAACACTACAATGTCACACAGCCATGGCCTCAGAAGCATTTACACTAAAAACACTGGGAACAAGTCTTTGAATGCATGACGAGGATGACATTAATTACACGTGTGTTTTACAGTACTAGTACTATCTCGGCGGAGACGCGAACACACTTCCAGTCGAGGAGCTGAGCCGGGCGCCGGAGTCCTATTAGTCACCTGACAGTAGGTCAGAACGGATGGCAGAGAAGAAGGTGGCTAATAGTGCACCGGCTTCAGTATGTCTCGTCAACAGCTGTGGCCTCTGAGCTGCTTCCTCTAAGAACTGCACTCTTGGAGAGATCTTCGTGTGAGTTTTACAAAATATCAACACATTTAACCAATTTGTTCGTAAGGAAATAAAAGAAATCAGTGATCGGCCAAAGCTTTGGCAAAGGTACGATGGGAAAATCTTCTACGCGACGTGTGATTTAATGGTCCTACTTTGTAAAAACGGGGCCGTCAGCTAAATGGCCTGGATGGCCGTCGAGGGGGAATCGGATTCAGTATTCGTTTTGGTTTCTGCTCTCATACTGAATTCCTGGAACACGGAGGAGCATCAGGAGCGAAACACTCCAGTCTGTCTAACATCATGTAAGCCAGCACTTGTTTAAACTCAAGGATAGGTACAATAAGAACGGCACAGAACTACCTTCTTTTTATGCTAGACCTTTTTTTTTGTTTTTTAAAACGTCTAATGGGCTTGGGCGGACGTGATAGATCAGGGTTCGAGAGATCTACAATCCTCAACAAATTTCTACCCTAGTCAGACACAGAAAATTTGCCTTTTCATATATAAGGACATTGGATTCAAGTATATATATACAGACAACTAAAATGAATGAGGTAAAGACAAAAAAAAAAGAAAAATAACCTCAATAGCAATATATTATGAATTTTTCGGTACCATTTCATATTAAAACACACACACTTTTTTTTTGAGAAAAACTAAAAAGTAAGTCATTCATTGGTGTCATACATTTTTATCCAAATTCCAGCAGTATAGAAGAATGATCCTAAAACTCATAAACTAAAAGCGGACACTGTGTGCGGTACAGTGTGTAGCGGTGCAGCCCGCCGCCGGGCCGGGGCGACCCGCACGGCGACGCCTGCCTGGTCGTCCAACAGGCCGCGTGCATCCGCAGCCTCCGCTTCCTGCTGTTACGGCGGCAGCTGCTTATCGTAGAGAAATACAAAATTTTTACTATGTACAGTACGCGTCGTTGTACCCTACTGTGAGTTCTGTTTCTTTTTTTCCATTCGCAAAAGAAAAACAAATGAATTTCTTTTTTTTTTTTTTTTTGGAATAAAAGGCGAGTTGGTTGCAAAGCCACTGAATGAGGATAGATAGATATCCATCACCAGATAAACTAGCTTCCTCGTGGTTTAGCTCAGCAGGATCATTCTATAAACTGCGATTTCTGGGCTCGACTGCAGCAACCCGACCGACTGCTGCATCTGCAAAACGGCGCCATCGATCGGAGAGAAATCTGGCCAATGCTCTACATTTGTGTCTCGGTCTTAGTGGTGTCGGATTATGGTAGCACAGACTTCAATACCAAAGCTTTAATCAGCTGCAGGAGTTTCCCTTTGATTTCTGTGTGTGTGTGTGTTAGTTTCAGATGTATATTTGGCAGAGAGTTTGCATGTCGCTCATTAATGCACTGGTTAAACACTCGGTTAAATCTACAATTTAAGTTAACATAATGCATCTATGGGAGTAAGAAGAAATATACCTCATGTCTTCAGCACTTCTAGAGACAAATGATTGTTGGCATCCGAGTGAGCGGGCTGCCTCTGTTTTCATTCCCATGAGGACAAAAAATACAACAGATCCCCGTCCAGACCCCGAAGACAAGATATAGCAGAAACAAAGAAGTGCATACGAATTAAAAAGAACAATTCTTTAAAAGAGCACTGTTTGCTTGTTCTGTCCTTCATTTTTTTTTTTTTTTTAGTTGTTCCTATAACATTTTACTCGTAACCCATCGCTTTTCATAATATCAGTAAGCAGTGCTGGAGAGCACATACTGTAAGGTTTATGTATCATGATGCAAACAGTCTGGGGGGGAGGAGGAGGGCGGTAAAAGTTGGTAATAAGGTAGCAATAAGGATGTCGGTGAGTCGGAGAGAAGGAGGAGGAGGAGGAGGAGGAGGAGGAGGAAGGGGAGGAAGGAAGGCCGGGATGGGGGAGGAAGAGGAAGAGGAGGACAGCGGTATTAACACTTGAAGAAAAGGCAGGCGCAGGAGGCTAGCAGGAGCCACAGTGATTGAGATACACAGGCAGAGCCGTTGATATCTCGACCCGTCCCAGGTCCTGCACACAGAGAGAAACAGACAGAGGACGAAGACAGAGACACAAAAGAGACGTTAAAGGAACCGATGAATGCTGTGGTGAGCATCCACTCAGACAAGATACTGAATGACATCAACGAGTTTTGGAGTTTGGCAGAAGAGTGCAAATGTATTCATCTGGTGCTTCTACGAATGATATCATATTTGATTTTAAACTTTATCTGAGTCAGAAATATCATTGCAGCAAAGTAGGATTCACACACAGAAGAAAAAAAAAAACACAGTTTGGATTTTAAATACGTCTGTTGAAGCCGATAACGTAATAACGGTCGATAATGTCATAAAAGTCCTGAACTGATCATGTCATATCTTTTCGATTCAGGACTTTTATTATGTTATCGGCCAGTTGTTACATTATTGTCTTCTACATACATCAGTTTGTAGAATGATCGGTAACTAATTACATCCATTATCCATCCATTATCTATACACCGCTTAATCCTCACTAGGGTCATGGGGGGCTGGAGTCTATCCCAGCTGACTCAGGGTGAAGGCAGGTTCACCTGGACAGGTAACCAGTCTATCACAGGGCTACACTTAGAGACAGACAACCAAGCACACTCACATTCACACCTACAGACAATTTAGAATCACCAATTAACCTCAACATGTTTTTGGACTTTTTGGAAGCCGGAGAACCCAGAGAGAACCCACGCTGCACGGGGAGAACATGGAGACTCCACACAGAAAGATTCCGGTGCCCCCACCGGGACGCGAACCGGCGACCTTCTTGCTGCGAGGCAACAGTGCTAACCAACTGCGCCACCTTGCAGCCCCTAACTAATTACAAAAAGGTCAAAAGTTTGACCAGTTTTGTGACCAACAATAGGGTTCAAAATCAAATAAACCAACAATATGCAGCTCTGCTACTGCTGTCAGCCTTTTTTCCATGAAGCAAATGCAGCATCCAACATGTAGGAGAACCCAGGAGACGACTTAGATTCAGAATCACTGACCAGGAAAGTGCTTTCTGTGGGAAATGTGCAAAGACATTACCCAGATCATTCTGTTTCAGATGTGGCATCATGGTTCTGTTCCTTAATCATCACAGCGGAGACGTGGACCAAATTGCACCCCGATGTGAATGCAGATACGTCTTTTACCTTTAAACACCGCAGCGGCTCAAATGAAAAACTCGATGACTTTTTCTCTGTAATTCCACTTGATTATACTTCATTATAAATCCATCATGCACGCTTGTCCTCCATGCACTTCTTGTGCTTTTCATCACTGTCTGTACATCCTGCAGTGCATCAGATAGACGGATTTAAAACTCTGACTTTTTGTTCAGCCTTCCTTTTCTGTTTCCCTGACGTCTGCACCAGAGTAAACAAAAGGCCACTTTTTAAGCTCAGTCTTTGTGAACTGCAGTCAGTAATTATAAAACTGTGGCGTAAGCGGCTTATTCAAATAACTGAGCCGAAGCCTGCGCGAGACAATACAAGGAGCGACTTTGAAGGAGGTTTGGTGACATCTGCTGGCCATGTGGTGCTCATGGAGGAGCGACGGAGGCCGGTTCATGCTGCACAGCACAGAGGAGGCGTAAACTGGGGAGCTTGGGTCCCTCACTCGTCTATAATGAAACCCCAGAGTTACATATTTTAATCAAGAAATACCACCTTCCAACCTTTAAATGGCTAAAATGTGCAGATCTATGACGTCCCCACCCTCTCTGTCTCTCTTATATAAGGACTCTATTCAAACACTGTAGAACTACTGCAAGTCACACAATGGCACGATGGAGTAATTCAGCCGTTCTTGTTTGAACCAGAAGTCAATTGTGAACAAGAATAATGATACAGAAAGCTCCTTACTGCAACTTAACAAACCTAAAGGACCAAAGCTGACAAGTACAACCTGCAGAATCTGTGTTTTAGAGACTGTCATCAGTGTGCTGCAGTTTCAAGGTGAAAACGTTCAGTCACTGGTGTCGACTGCTTGTTCCGCTCTTCATGTGTCCTCCAGCACTAACAGGTACAAAGCTTCACTGGAGGGTTTTTATTTTTTTCTTATTTTTTTAAACACACAACAAATGTAAGAAAGACACGCTGATAAACAAAGCTACAAAGGAATAAAAAAACTCAATCATATGCAGAACTAGACGCAAAAAATGAAGAAAAAATTAAATTCAACTACAACAAAAAGCCAAACAAATACAGAAATGCTGCAGGAGATGTTTCTAGAAGACATTAAGACCAGACCACAGTATTTGCTGCCATGGCTTGTGGCTCATATTACCAGTAATGGTCAGTTTAATGCAGTTTCTCCTCTACCTGCTGAAACATTTATGACGTCTAAACCATGTGACCAGAATGTTCAACCCAAACATTGGAATTTTGATTGAATTAAGCAAATTGAAGACATTTTCTATTTTGTCAACATGCAGTC